GTCAAGAGTCTGAGGGCCCTAGACTTGAATGGGGGGGGTGTCTGTCCAGAAGCTTCTGAACTTGGGATGCCTACCTACTCCAGGGCTCATTGTACGCACTCCCATCACTGCCCTGCGGCCTTGTTTGGTCAGTCTCATGGCTCAAAATGATGGTGTTGGGAATGGGGAGGTCCTGCCTTCCTCCTCTCCCAGTGCTATCTCTTGTGCACACAGGCTATGTGGGCCCTGCCTGTAATGCTGTCTTCTCTAAACTCTGCAATTTATGGTGCAGTTGTACCAAGGAGAAGGCAGGGATTTATCTTTGTTCTAAGTGTTATGTGTATATTTAAAGTCTCTTGCAGTAATTGGCACTTCATGGCAGAAACAAGGGGACACAGTGCATACCCATTTTTTAAAAAAATTTTAAAAAGATTTTATTTATTTATTTGACAGACAGAGGTCACAAATAGGCAGAGAGGCAGGCAGAGAGAGAGGAGGAAGCAGGCTCCCCACCGGGCAGAGAGCCCGATGTGGGGCTTGATCCCAGGACCCCGGGATCATGACCCAAGCTGAAGGCAGAGGCTTTAACCCCCCTGAGCCACCCAGGCATCCCGTGTGTACCCATTTAGTAAGAAAAAGAGGAGGGGAGATTTGGATAATCAAGACAAGTATTCTTATGCCCAAGATGCCTCAAGGAAGGGCTGGCAGGAATGACTTAGATAAACACTGATGTCTGATGTTTACACTCTTGTCCCGGCAGATGCCTTCTCACCAATGTGGTTCAGAACTGAGGAGAGAAAAATTTGGGTGCTGGGGAGTCCTGGAGACACCCTCAGAAGCCCTGTTTGTGGATTGTTTAAGTAGATGAAGAGCTGTATTGCAATGATCCTTGGGAGGAGGAGGAAAAAAACCCACAAGAGATGGGCAAAAAGTCACGTTTTGAAATCTGGTGACTTGTTGGAATATCATTTGCATCTTTGATAATATAAAAAGAAAATGTAAAAGTAAGAATAAACCACCAGCAGGGTTATATCCTCATAGTGGGGCAGATGCAAAGCTTGTTAATGGCCCTGGTTGCTCTGGGTCCCTGTGTAACTTACAGCTGCAAGACACACAGATACTCACACGTTCCAAATGAAGTTGGAGTTCAGACACTATAAGCAAGGTTACGTGGCCACCTGAGAGTACAGTCTGGGAGGAGAAAGCCATCCTGTCCCTAGTGATCCTGATGAGAAGTAAGATAGCCTTTGTGGGATTCTCAGCAGTTGTGCAAAGCAGCACAAATCTTGACTCTTTGGTTTAGTACATTGGGAATCATGGCTGACACTGGGGGTCGGGATGATAGCCAGTGGTTATACTGTAAGTGGTGTGTAGGTGGCACAAGGAGTTACATGGCTTGTGGTGCAGTTGTCTGAAAAAGTTATAGGTTTGGAAGGGTCAGTACTTCCTGCTGGGGTTTCTCATTGGTGAGAAGGCAGCAGTATCTTGGAGGCAGGGATCTGCCCCTATGGGTGCGGGGGTTGTCAGTGCCTGGATAGCTTAGATGAGTGAAAGCTTAGGTGATGCTTGTCTCACTCACCTTGATAGAGTCCTGGCCCCCAAGGTGGGCATTAGTGGGAAGATGGTGGTCCTAACAACTGAATTCCTCTCTACACCTCCCAAATGGTTAGAAGTTTACAGGAGGGATTTTAGTAGGGTAGCTATAGGGTTTACATTATTCATGACCTAATTCATGACCAGTTTAAGATGTCAGGCTCTGAGCTTCTTTGGCCAACATAGCTCAAGTGTGGGAGGTGGCTGTCCCCCTACCCCCTGGCTCTTGCCTTTGACTCCTTGACTCTGGCTGTCAGTCTCATCCTTATTCAGTCTCCCTCTTTTCAACCATCATGTCTGAAGCCTTAGGAAGCTCCAACTTCAGGGCCAGACTTGCCTTCCCTATAAGAATAGCAAATGAGTTAATGGTGATTAAAAGTAGACACACTTTCTTTTCTTTAAAAATTTTTAAAATTTGAGTTGACATATAATGTTACATTAGTTTCAGGTAATACACTTTCATTTTGAGTCCTTATTATGTGTTATGCTAAGAGCTTTGTAAGCACAATTTTGTTCAATTCACAATAATCCCTGAGGTACTGTTATGCCCATTTTACAGATGAGGAAACTGAAGCTCCCAAAGGTCAGTTTCCCTGCATAAGGTTATGCAGCTAAGAATGAGGCCAGAATCCCAATTAAACTATCCCCAGAGCCCAGCTGAGCTAACTTACCCTTAAACCCCACTGTGGAAAGGTGAGAATCTGAACATTTTTGAGACCCACCAAAGGAGCTTCTCCATCACCACCCTGCTTACCTTTGTCTGGCTGGAGCTGGCTGACCACAGCAGTCTTAGGTTCTATAGCCAGTGTTGTTGGGGCCTTTGCCCTCATCCCTTGCCCTCACCACTTCTATGCATGCTGACTTGTCTTTGCCTGAGGCCAGCCACTTTCCCAGGTCAGTGTAAATGAACTTACCTGTGTTCTGGCCTTTGCCTCACATTGATCATCATCAGATCTAGTCAAGTTGCTGGAAAGTTGAAGTGTGGTCCCTGGGGCATCTAGGCCCATTGGCTTGGTAAACACATGCCCTTTCTTTTGATGTCAGGCCCCGTAACCTTTTGATTATCCATAATTTGTCTGCCTAGTTTCAAATGGTTCAGAAAATGGGGTTGACACTATGACCTTAGGGCAAGCTGAAAGTGTGGAGACCAGAGTCGTGAATTATACTTTCTTCCTAGAAATGCCAGACTGCTTTGTGGTTAAGAGCACAGCCTTTCAGTTGGATATCCTAAGTTTAAATCCCAGATCTATCGTGGTATAATAACCACAGAATAGGTTTGGAGTCCCACTGGACTCACTGTGAGACAGTGGAGCTGAAACTCCATTGGTCATCTGACCTACATAAGCCTTACTCTGGTGGACTCCACTGATGTTTTGGGTCTCCTGGAATTTGTATTGTTTTAGAGCCAATGTCTAGTGATCCTATAAATGTCTGATTTTTTCCTTTTCCCTATGCAGTCATTCTGGGAAAAGGCCATAGGTAACTTTGGGGAAGGCTGGGAAAAAGATTAACATCATACAATTTTTGGCAGTGTATCAAGATAAGTCCTCAAAGGGACCCAGCCTTCCTGCGTTTGTAAACTGGCTCAAATCTGGGAACTGATTGAGGGAGGTCATGACTCTGCTTTTACAATTCAAGTTAGACTTTTGTTCATTTGATCTGGAATTCTGCTCATCCTGGTCAGTAAGAATTCAGTTGGCTTCCCATTTATTTCACTTCTAGGGATACCATGACCATCTTGCCAATGTCAGAGTTCTGTGTACTTAGGAGTATCCTGATTTCTGCTTTGACTGCACAGTCCATGGTAACCATGTCCACTTTACCTTTGGCTGTTGAGTGCTGCCACTGGGTTTCTGCCAAACTGGGATCCAATAACCCCAGTGCATTTAAGTTTCCCAGTTCAGTGGCAGCAGTTCCCACTATAATGTGCCTTGGGCATGTTGCTTACCCTCTTTATACCTCCGTCTTGACCTCTGTACATTGGGGTTAATAACAAGGTTGTTGTGAGACTTAGATGGAAGGTAGTAGAAGAGGGCCTCAAAGCCCACCCATGTTTATTAGAATTATTTGTGCTGGTGGGGAGGGAAGAGATGGAAAAGAAAAGAAGGGGCTGGACCAAGAAGGGGAAGATGTAGGATGCAGAGAACCCTGGGTGGGAGCAGATCCATTTACTCAGGCAATGAATGTTTCCTGAGTACTTAGTATGGGCCACTTACCTTGACGGTTTTCAGAATGAAGTCCTGAATAAGGCAGAGGCAATGACTGCCTAAAGGGGCTTGGTGGCAGAAAAATTGAAGAAGCAAATTGCAGCATGATCTCTGTGCTTTGTTGAGGAAGCTCGGGGAACATAAAAGTCCAACACTCACCCAGCCTTTCCTGGACACAGTGTTACCACTTAATTGTTCAGAAAATTCCTCCTGGTCCAACCAGCACAGCCGAGAGTCGCGCATTGATCTTAAGGGCCTGTTGGGCACCCTTAGATTTATCAACCCATCATTGCAAAATGTTTCTCAGAGCCTCCTCCCTTTGTGCATCAGCCCTGCTGCTGTGTTGAGTCGCTGCTGTGGTCTTCTACCTGGTCCCGCTTTGCGCGCCTGGTCGCTGGCAACCTCTCTTTCCACCATACATCTCTTCCCTCACCCACCCTGCTGCAGCCACTCAGGCTTCTTGCTGCCTGCCTCCCAGCCTCTGGACTTTTGCACATTCTAGTCCCTTTGCTGGAACATCCTTTTCCTGGCTGAGAACTGTTCATCTTGTGTATTTCCAGTCAGTGTTCATTTCCTCTGCCCCTTCTCCAGCCCCAGGCCTTCTGAGATGCTTTTGTTTTAGGTTCCCTTGTTCCCAGCAGTCCTGTGTGCACAGCCCTTTGCCCCACTGACTATGTCAGTCAATCAACACTTTCTCCCCAGGCACTGGGCTCCACCTGGGCAGAGACAATGCCTGCCACGGTCACTGTTATAATCCCCTCCCCCAGGGCCGTGCTTGGCCCATAGTGATGCTCAATAAATATCCTTGATAGGTCAGCATAGCTTTCAAAGCTGGCGTCTTTGCATTAAGCCGGTCACCCTCCAGGCCAAATTCTTAAATCTGTTCTGAGCAGCCTCTAAATCAATCAAGATGCAGAAGAGTACCGAAGACCAAGGTGTCCGTCCTTGTAGGGTACTGGAAAAGTGGATCCCTGCCTGTCCCTTCTCTCTCCCTTCCTTGGCCAGGGAGACCATGCGGGTGCAACTTGGAAGCAGGGCTTTGCCAGAGCGGCTCTGGCCCCTGGCAGGTGAGAGGAGCGCAGGCCTCTTCCACGGGTGCCTGCGGTATGCGTGAGCAGCCAGAAGGGGGCGGCAGAGAGACAGGAGTGGTCCACGGAGAAGCCCAGCTCCGAGCCGAGCCGCGCGAACCCACCGAGCCCGCGCTCAGAAGCCCGATCTCCCACCGACAGGCCGCTGGGGTCGGGAGACTGCCGAGTCCTTTCTCTTCCCCAAGTGCAGACAGAGCCCCCTGGAGCCATGGCCAGCCCTTCTGACAGCCCCGAAGACTCGGGCAAGCTCCGAGGCAGGGATGGCCGGCAGAGGAGGGAGGAGGAGGAGGATGCCCCTCCGGAGGAGAAGAGATTGAAGCTGGGGCTGGAGGGAGGAAGCGCAGCGCAGGAGGAAGGAGAAGACGCGCCACGTCTGGGCAGGGAAGAGACCGGCACCCAGACAGGTGGCGAAGGCAGAGGTGTAAGTGAGCGGGGGCGCAGGAGGGACTGGGGCTAGAGGTGGGGTGGGGTGGGCAGGATGCTCCCTGTCGGCCGGCCGTCAGGTCCAAGTTGATAATTGGGCAGCAACTCCTGCGGGCAGGCGCGGTTTGACAGCTCGTGGGGACCTCCTGAGAAACTAGATGCTTGGATGTTGGTGGCAACCCCCTCCTTGTTTGTGTAGCATTGACTCGCTGATTCTCCCACGGCGTTGTCGTCGTGTCTGGCTGGGAGACCCGTGGGTTCTGCGGTTAGCCAAAAAGGGGAAGAGAAAGCTCTGTGTCCTGGGGGTCCCCAGAAGGGGAAGGAGGTGAGGTGAAGGAGGGCTCTAACCAGCCCTCAACCTTCAGCTCCCTCCTGGGCAGTGCTGTTTTAGGTGTCTCTCTGGGACTTTGCCCGTTGTGTTTCTCTCACCTGGTAAGGGGCTTGGATGGGAAGTAGCTAGAACCCTAGCGCAGCTTCTGCCAAACCCTGCCCTGCCAGCAGCTCACCCCATGGCCCTCACCTGCTCTGCATCTTCTGTCATTGCTCCCCATTCTGGTTGGGCAGTGAGAGTTGAGAGAGAAGGCAGGTGGCTTCCATCCCTGAAGTCACTCTCTCCTTATTCTTTCCGAGAGGGAAAGAGAGACAAAGTTCTGTGCATCCCCTTAGGTGCTACCTGGCTGCGGTCCCTGCTGGCTGAAGATACGTGTGAGGTGTTTTTTGCATATGTGCATGGTTACGTGAGTCACTGGGCTTGTGTGAGATAGAGCTCAGTGGCCAGCTTGACCCCTTGGTTCCCTCTTTCTGCTTCCTCTCTTGAATCTTCCAGTTGTGACCCGGCTGACCTTACATTTGGGGAGCACAGGAGTCTGGAGAGCAGATGAGGGCTGGCTGGATAGCCGTCCCCGTGGCAAGGGCTTCCATCTTGAGAGTTTTTAATGGATAATGCCATTGACCTTTTTGTTTCTTCCAAATGTTTTTATTCTTGACCATTTGCTTGGCTGAGCTTGTCTTAAAAATTTGATTAGTGGCTAGTGAGCCCCAGGAGAGAGTTCCCATTCTTTCTCCCAAATGCACATAGGCAGCTGCAGCCTGCCTCCGTTCTCCAGGCTGCATCAAAGCCCAGCCGACCCCGAGTGGGGCTGCTCCCAGGCTCTGCTTTAGACACTTCACCTCCCTGTGGTTGTGCTTGTGTTCGGACTGTGGGCCACCCGGACACGAAAACCAGGTGAATTTCTCTCTGAGCTGCCAGGAGAAGGATAATCCTTATGGAAGGTTTATTGGGACACATCGTGGAAAGAGTGAGAGGGATGTGTCGCAGTGTGGTGAGAGGAGAGGCCCTGGGTCAGAAACATGATTTTGGGGGGCATTGCGGTGCTATGAAACTTTTACTGTCAGAAACTCCTCTATCACTTCTTCCCTCATTACTTGGAACTTTGCCAAAGACCGCGATATGAGAATGCAAGGAAGTGACCAAGTGCAGTAGGAGGTAAGAATGTGAGTTTGAATCTTGGCTCTGGTCTTCCTTTGCTGGGTGACTCAGAGCAAGTTACTTAATCTCTCCAAGACTTCGTGTCCTCATTGGTGAAATGGATATGTCAATAGGCTTTGTTTCATGGGGTTATTATCCCGGAGATTAAGTAAAGTTTATCTATAGGAAGCACTTAACATTAAGCCCAGCACATACTATGTGTTCAATAAATGTGATTTAGTACTGAAAGTTACTCCATGCGGCTCACTTGCTATTGTCTTTGGTTCTGGGGGTGCATCACAAGAGATGAAGGTCTTAGGCCAGGCTCTCCATACTAAATGCTTTCTGACGGTTAAGGAATTATGGGCAGATGATGAAATTTTTTTTTAAAGATTTTATTTATTTATTTGACAGACAGAGATCACAAGTAGGCAGGGAGGCAGGCAGAGAGAGAGTGGGAAGGAGGCTCCCCGCAGAGCAGGGAGCCCGATTCGGGGCTCGATCCCAGGACCCTGGGATCATGACCCGAGCCGAAGGCAGAGGCTTAACTCACTGAGCCACCCAGGCACCCCAGGTGATGAAATTTTTAAAAGGCAGAAAGTCCATTGAACTTTTTGGTTCACAAAGGGAAATAGGGATCTCATGGTTTGAAGGGTTATGTCATAACCGGACACAAACCCTCCTTTCCTGAATTCTGAATCCAATTTCCTACTTTTGGGGACACCTAGATCTTCTGGGGGAAGTGGCCCTTCACAACAATGGTGTCTTGGTTTTTAAGTTTAAAGGTTGGCCAAGCTTGTGCTGGTCAGAGTGCCTATCAGATAGATTTCTCCTCCTTTGTAGTGTTTATAGGAATATTTTCTTTAAAGAACCCAGGGAGCAGTTTCGGGCCAGTGCCAGGAGCAGCAGCATATTTCTTTGAGGAGACCCCATTTCTTCACTCACAGACCATGTCCAAATGGATCAAGAAGAACGGAGAGCTTTTTCATGAAATTTTGTCTGTAGACCATTAGCTTGGCTAAAATGTTAAAACATCCTTGTTCTTTAATAGCAGATTATTTTTAGGTACAGATCATTTTGGGCTTTTCTCTGCAGAAGCTGTATGGGCATCACCTCCCTGTCCATGTTGTATCTAGACATTTTTAAAAGATAAAATACCCTTTCCCTTCACTGGGTTTGGTGCTTTGGATGGCTGAGGTTTACATGTGATTGGTGGTCCCTGTGAGTGGCTCCCAGGCTTGGCTCTTTCCTTTAAGGGGAAGGGGCTGCTTCCTTTAGTGGTTGCTATGGGGTGCTTTTAGGAGGTAAAATGAGGACCCAGGAGCTATCTTAGTGCAGAGTCCTGTTGGAGGTGCCGTTGGAGGAGGAATGCGCCCAGTGAGGGCTGATCCCCCACCAGGGATCAAAAGTTTCCCAGACTCCTTTTGCCCCCTTCAGGACCAGGGCTGCTGAGAAGGCATCAAAGAACCAATCCTCCCAGAGCCTTTATTGACTCCTTTAAAGTGACCCTGGGGTGAGTCTGGCCTGCAGCTCTTCCTGGGGGGAGAGAAGGATCTCTTCTAGGTAATTGGTTATCAACATTGGCTGTTTGTTCAGTTTTGCTCAAGTTCGGGAAGCTGGGCATAGACTTCTGGGTTGTGCTGGGCAGAGCTGAAATCCCCTGATGAAATCCCCATTCAAGAGTCCCCAGGGTTGAGACCAGAATAGGGAGGTTATCATCAGTAGGAGGCCCCTATAGAGGGGAGTCCAGACTGCAGGTCTTTCCCTTGTCACTGGTGAAGGTCTGCACCTGGGTATCTCAACCTTCCCACTAGTGACATTTGGGGCCAGATCATCCTCTGTTGTGGGGGGCTGTCCTTAGCAGCATCCCTGACCTATAGCCACTGGATACCGTTAATGCTGCCTCTCCATCACCAGTGTGACAACTGAATATGGTTCCCAGACACTGCCAAATGTCTAGGGTTTGGGGAGGACGCAGATGAAATCACCTTCTCTGAAAGCCACTGGTTTATACTTACAAAAATGTTTCAGAGAAGAGCTATTAAGTTTGGATTCTGCTGTACCATTTATGAGCTATGTAGCCTTGGGAAGTTTATATATAATCTCCATGGGCCTCAGTTTCCTCATCTGTAAACTGAAGATAGTGAGATAAACTTCAATGGAAGGTTGTGTGGGCATTTAATATAATTCCAAGATAACAAATGGAAAAGGCTTAGCATAGGATTTAGACAGAAAAACACAAAACAAATGGTCAATTCCATTTTTACTTATTTGGGTGAGTCAGATTCTGTCTTCCATCCCCTTATCCATTTGGAGAGGTGCAAGGAAAACCTAAACCTTAGGTTTCCCTCTAGTTTTCTCCTTGGTTCTCTGGTTCCTGGATTCCAGGAAGCAAAGGTGTGGGTAGACAGAGCAGGTGGCTCTCAGTTTACTCCCACACTGGAGAATTCCAAAGCTGGCTTGCCATAACAGGGCTTTTGGGCCAACATCTGGGCTTCTGGATTCCCATTTGAACACAGCTGGACTCCACAGGACTGAAGCTCTCTCTGCCGAGATACAGATATTTCTCTGGCAATGATCTCTCAAGCTGACATGAAGACATGGCCACCCACTGGAACACGGTGATGCATGGGCTCTCCTACAATTTGTGAGGCAAGCGTCTGAGGATTGCAGTGTGCAAGTGAGGTTCCCTCGTCCTCCGAGGGCCAAAAGCGAAGTGCAGGTTGGTGGAGGGTCCTGCACGGAGGAAGAAGACATGGAGTGCATTTCTTTCAGTGAGAACAGAGGGGTATAGGCCACATACTGGATAGCTCAGACCACTGTGGGGAGACAGGTGCCTCTGTGCCTGCAGTAGTTTTGGACTATGAGCTGTCTAGCCCTTAGCTTTAATCATTTTAGAAATATTTAACCCCAGGGCTGGCAAACCGGAGTGCGGTTTGGGTTTCTCAGCTGGAAAGACACAGAATGCCAGCCAATGTCTTCGTGATTCTTTTCATTTCACTGAGATCGTTGTTGTCCCTTTGTATTCTTGGGAATATGATTTGGAGCTGAAGGAGCAGGAGGGAGATCAGTTTAGGGTTGGGACAGGGGTCTCTGCCAGGGATGTGGTGGCTGGGATGGTGGTGATGATAATGGGTGGAGTTGAATGCCTGAACAGAGGAAAGCTTATGAGACACAGTAGGGACTCAAGTATCAATCTGGTATGGCAATGAGAAAGAAGCAGGGTCAGGCTGACCTTCAGAATGACCTTCCAAATGGCAAGGAAGACTTTGAATTTGATTTTGGACTCTGGCTGAGTTTGCTTTCAGATCCAGGTGACAATGTGTAGCAGGATAGAAAGGTCTGGGACTGGATATTCAGATTTGAGAATCATCAATGTAGATGGTACTTGGGGCCATGGGAACACCTCAGGTTGACTGGGGAAACAGCGGTGGGGGGCGGAATGGAAGGGCTTTGGTATAAGTCCAAGGAAATCTTAATGATGAGAGGAGAAGAATCCATGAGAGAGATTGGAGGTGCATCAGGGAGAG